CCTTATTCCGTCTCAACAACATAGACATCCAGTCTCTTGCCACGAGGCCGCGTTGGCATACTTTCCAGCACTACGTTGCCTAGTTGGAGGGCTTCAGGATTGCAACCCGCGTATTCGTGGCCAAGCACTATGGCTTACTCTCGCAATGACCTTCAGTCTCGCCCGCAATGCCCCCGAAAATGCAGCACATCTCCTGGAATGTAGACATGGGTAGCTCTGTCTTGACACGCGCGCCAAGCATGCCTCCAACCTAGAGACTGCGTGGCCGCATCCGAACAATAGCGGCTGAGCAAAAGCGCTGCAGGATCCAACCACCGAGGGTGCGCACGTTGATCATGGAAGGCATGCTAAACGACACGGCGAGACATAGTCACAGCCAAGCAACATCTGTTTGCTTGTGACGAAAGCAGCCGTAGCATCGCAGACTTTTTTGCCCTCCAGGCACACGAGGCGCCAAAAGGAGGTTCGAAGACTTGGCCTCTTCCCCGGCGCAGCTGGCAAGATGGCGGGTTGTCAAGTTAGCTCCGCGCCATTTGTCACTCTCGCACTTTGAACATGGCTTTGCAAAATGATCGGCGTATCGTAGGCTGCCGCCGCGATGGCCAGGTTTGGGCAAGCGGCGGTGGTAGGCCGGCAGATGTGCCCGCGTTGGCTGCGCGAAGAGCCTCACCATAGGCGCGGATCGGTCTCGGTTGGCAAGGAAGAAACAAGGCAAAAAGCCACCGTACTGTGTCGCCTAGGTGCACATCCGCTGTCTTGTCTTCGACTTCGCTGGCCAAGCTTGCGCAGCCAAAGTCGTGGACTTTCCGTTTGCAAGCAGTGGCCTGCCACTTGTGTCCAGGTTGAGGCTGCTCACAAGGGAGGGTCCGGTCAAGTTGGTGGTGCCGTAGTGCGCAGATCTCTGACATGTCTTTGAAGCAGGCAGACGGAAAGCCTGGGTTAACCACGTGTGGGGGGGAGGTTATCACAGCAACCTGCGATTTTTTTGGTCAAACAGGGGTCCCTTCTGAGGGACCCCAAAAAAACCAGTGTAGGGCCTACACTGGTTTTTTGGGGGTCCCCTGAAAGGGACCCCCACATGATTTCAGGTTGCAAAAGACGCGCAGATCAGCTGTAGGTCCCTGGCAGGGGACCCCCAAAAAACCAGTGTAGGCCCTACACTGGTTTTTTTGGGGGTCCCTTGCAAGAGACCCTCGATTGTCCGAAAAAAATCAAAGGAGCCGCCCGTGGCCGCGCCTGCGCTGTGGCTGTTTCTCTTTGCGCCGGTTGTTTCTGAGAACCAGAGGTGCGTTGCCAATCGCAACATGGAACAAAACGGAGTGTGGCGCGAGCGTCTCGCATTTTCTGCTGCAACTCCGCGACTCAAGCCACGGGGAGCGAAGGCGCTACACGCCTCCGATGTGGCCGCGCACCGGCGGACCAGGCAGAACTTTTCGTAATCGTGCAACACAGTTTGAATTGACTGGGGTTCACGCCCAAGCTGGTCTGCAAGTGAATGTATCTCCGGCTGCGCTGCCCTTTGCCTCACTTGTGACACAAAATCCTACAAGCAAACAAACCACACTCGCTGCGCTTGTACGACGTTCAAGCAAGCAGAGGGTCATGTCTGCAGAATGAGCCGGAAGCTCTAAAGTAACGAAATCACTGACACTTGAGAAATGGCCTGCGCCGTTTCCGAAAACATCGAAGGAGAACCGCAGGAAAACAGCGTCCAAACCACAACTTCCCTGAAAGCAAAGCGAGCTGCGTCGCAATTGCCACGGGACACCTACGGTCCCCCCATTCTGCCAGGTCCTGCTTGACATCACTTCACGGGAAACACTTGTTGCGAAGTGACATTTCGTTTGGCAAGGCTTCTTTCACCTTGTTGGATGCTAAGGTGGAGGCAGGCGCCCGGCGCCTCGGGCGCCCGGCGCCCGGCGCCCCAGAGCCGGCAGAACTGAAAAGAATTCTGCTCTCTTCAAATGGCTTTCAAACCCACGCTTGTGTCTGGGGCGCCAGGCAAAGGTCCACGTGACCTGACAAGCGTGCAAATGCAGGCACGACCCCCCGCTTTTGGGAGATTCTCGGGTGTCTCCAAGCGTAGTTCTGCATCTACGTGGAAGCCAAGACACAGCTTTGCGCTGTCAGCCAGAACAAGCCTCAACTCCCGCCGCCTCCTGGCTTCGTCCTGGTGACAAACTCCAGAGCGACACAAACAACTCAATGTCTTTGCCTCTCGGCATTCCGGGACTGCCTCGTCGCACAAGCAGCAATTAATGCTGGCCCTTCCTGCAACTGATTGACGCCGAGCGGGTGGAGTTACTGACTTGTTTGAAGACGCAGGTGAGAGCAAATTCGTTTAAATCAGTGCAAGCAAGGCACGTCATGGAAATACGTTCTGCCAGATGAATCTGGGATGTGCGCGGCACAAAAAAGGGATCTGGCCCGCCGTTGATGGTTGGCCTTGTTTAATGTCAAACCTTGTGACCCTGGAAGCAGCTGCGGATATCCGCCTTCTAAATTCTTTACATGGTTCTGGGTAGACCATTTTAATACTGGGTTTTGATTGTGACTCACGCGAGGGGCACCCAGTGGCTTATTCGGCTCCCTCGATTCAACTGTCCAGGGCGGAGCTGGAGCAGGCCCGAGAGGGCGATCAGGCCATGGCCGGGGAGGGGTTCACCCGTGGGTCAAACCTTTTGGCTTCCGGGCAAGGCACTGGTAAGTGGCTAGGTTTTCCAGTAGTCTTTTACCGTTGCTTTTTTGGGGGAGGGTTCGCCTACTCAAATAGACTACAGAAAAAGTTGGTGCCCTTATTCTAACCTCTTTAGTGGAGGACCTAGGTGAAAACCATCATGCACTTGGAGGTAAGGAACCCGAAGAGTTACTATGGTGGGAACTGGAAGCACTGGGAAAGGGTGGTTCAAACAACAGAATCGTTTTCACCAACCCCCGGTTCCCCCTCCCCCTCCCCCCTCCCCCCAAAAAGGGCACCAACAGCCAACAGCAGCTGGTTTAAACAGTAGCGACATGTACCGCGGCAGATATATCTTTTCCATTTTCCGCCGGGCTTGATTGCCTGAAGCCTGCTGGACTGTCGATGGAAGCGCTGAGAACACCACGAAACGGTTCTTGTTTTAACAAATGCCACCTTCTCTCTGGGTTGGGAAGTTTGAAGGGAAGCCAAGAGGAACATGGCTTTTTTTGGATTCCCCCAAATTCGGTCTCCTGGCGTCCTGCAATGAACCAAGGCATCCCGCCAATTTCCAATCTCTTATCCAGAGGTGCGGTAAGTTGTCAAAAATGTGTTGGAGGAAAATTTGTTGGTCACCAACCTTGATTTACCTCCTCCCGGCAGCCGGACATTAGGGAATAAATCAACAGTAATTGTATACCAGATTGCAAAAGCGCACTCAGTAGCGCGGAAGCTTTGCGTAGGAAGGGCCAGCCCAATCGTCAGACACGCGTCGGTGTAGGTCACCCGACTTCATCGTGTTGCTCGGCGGGTTTTGTTCTCCTCAAGGAAACAAAGCAGCAAACGTTGAATCCTGGTTCCGGAACGGGAGGAACCCTCAAAAACACCCTCGAGATGGTAATCTCCCGTGTCTCCGAAGTAGAGAGCAGTTTGCCTGATGTTCAAAGCGCTTCAGAGTTGAGTCCGTGTGGATGGATGGCTTTTCACCGGTCGGGATGGACGAAAGCCTATGACTGGTTGATCAAGCCACCGACCAACTGCCGAAACATCCGCGGATTTCGGCCAGGTTGCCCTGCAGCGGAAGACCCAGGAGGTTGCCACCCTGGAGGCACTTGGGTCTCTTTGGAGAAGAACCAACCAGCCAGCCAGCCAGCCAACCAACCAAGAATCTGCGAATGGTTGCCCCCAAGCAGTAGAGAGGCCCCAACAAGGTCAGGGACCAGCGCCAAAAACTGAGAGTTCTTGGAGGACTGGCGGGAATCTGGGAGGGGAAAGGGGGACTTTTAATCGCGGGAACTACTCGCGCACTGACATTAGTCTGCCCAGTGTCACTCGCATTCTTTTTTAGCTTGTTCAACACCAAATCCCAACGGTTAGCGGTTTGCGGAGTACGCGCTTTGCGGATTAGAGTATGGTTGTCGGCATGCCATCGGCACAGATCCGGTTGCCACAAATCCCAACCCCCCCAAGTAGAACACAGGGAAGCTGACAACATGTCGTGTGTGCGTTTTGTTTTCTTCTTCGCCACCCTTGGGAGTGTATCAAACAAATCGGTGGGGGTTTATCATTTGGCAAGGTGCTCCCCATTCAACGTCCCCTGCCAAATGAGGTGCTTGCCCATTTTTACTAGGTCCTCGAGTAGTGCCCTTTTACTGTTTCTTTTTTGGGGGATGGTTCTACGAAAATGGACAAAAAACAATTACACAAGCATAGACCCCAGATAGCAATACCATGGCTACGAACCATGACGCAGCATCATCATGGCTCCCGTGGCATGTTGACAACATGATAATGATGTTGACAGCATCATGCTGATAAACCAGCCACGGACGATTCCGCGCTACATATCGGGCAGAACCAGGGCAGAGACGACGTTCGACTGCATCATGATGATGCGGACAGCATCATGTTTTTTCTTTGCTCGCGCCTTCTTCCGCCCGGCATGGTCCTCCCCCCCAACGAGAAAACCGGCTTAGGGGTTTAGCCTCCGGGCTGTTGTTCCGGAAATCAGCTCCCCACCTGCGCGCTGTTCACCCAGTCAGCGTCCGGGCAAGCGACTGCACGCTGGCGCCTCGCAGTACTGGAAGTCAGCAAGGACGTCGCTGACATCCGGCACAGGCCCGTCAAGGTTATGTGCGTCGGGGCTGGGCAGGAAGCCCAACGAGGCGACACCAGCTGGAAGAGAGCAACTCCCGGTAAGTGCGTGCCTTGTCGCGCCAGGCCTTCAACCCGCCGCTGGTGGACGCGGGCGCGCCCGCTGGAGCCTAGGGCCAAAACGAGGGTGGTGTCAACGGCAAGCTGCGCCGTCCCAGAGCGGCAACCAATGACCTCTGTCGTCAAGCTGCTGGACATGGACATATCCGGCAGACTTGGCCGCGCCCGGCTCAAGAGGCCCAGCGAGCGGGAAGGCCACAGCGCGCCCACACGCACATAAGGCAGAACCCAAAGGCAAAGGGAGCTGCAAACAGTGAAGGAGGAGCACGCGGAAGAGCGAGGGCTTGAGCTCCGGGGAAGTGGGCGCAGCCAAAAAGACCCCGAAGCAAAAGGGGCCGGCTGGGGAAACCAGCGTGGCGCCGGCGGCCGCATTGAGCTGGTCGACTGCCCGGGAGGCGGCGCGCTGCCACCAGCGGGCCCGGTCTCGCTGTGACCCCGCCGTCGGGCAGCGCAGAGCAGGTTTTGATGCGCTGGCCCCGCGCAGCCTTGGCGACGCCGTCGTTGCGTTCCCTGCCTGTTCGTCGCACTTTTTCCACCTGGGCTGCGCAGCGCAACTGCGAGTGCAGGCTGCGGCAGCAGCTGACCTGCTGTGCCCGCTTTGCCACGGGTGCTTGTGCAGCGGCTGCTCCGCCCAGGGATGGACAGATCGTGGACGCAGTGCTACGCGAGCTGTGTGCCCAGCAGTCCGTGCATAGCAGTCAGGGAGTGGCGCTGCAGGCGGCCGGCTTGCCATGCTGTGGCGGAGACCGGGGTCGAGCGACGTTGCCATGAGTAATTTCCCGTCTGGGCCGCCCCCCGGCGGAAGCTGTCAGCCGAGAATCGGATTGCCGTTTCTCGGGCCGCCGCAGCCCGAAGCCACCAACTCGCGCGTATGTGCCCTTCTTGCTGGCTGCCGCCGGCCTTTTGCAAGAGGACGCTCAGCGCGCCTGGTCAGACCACCCAGCCGCCGCGACGGCCTGGCTTGCCTGTCGCCAGCATCCGCCCCTCGACCCGCACTCGCTGTCCAATGTGATCGTTGGGGCAGCGGCCGGCTGGCCGTTCCTCCTCGCACACGCAGCCAGGGCTTCAGCTGCTGCGCAGGAGGCGCTGCTGGTTGAAATCCTCGGCTTGCGCGGCGCGGGGCAGTTTGATCGGTTGGACCGCTTCCGTCGCCTGTTGCGCCGCCACCTGACCCGCTTGCGATGCCCCCGTCACCCTAGAAGTGGCTCGGGGGATATGGCGCCCACGGCGTCGTCAACGCGGCCGTCACCAGCGCGCCAAACTGCACCTCCAAACAGCACCCCCCCAAACAGCACCTGCGCCAGCACGCCAAACTGCACGCCCCCTAGCACTTAGCCATCAATCTTGCAAATCACCTTCCCCTCTTTATTAGAAGGCAGAACCCCTATAGCTTTCAGCTATCTGGGGGAAAAATGAAAAAAACAACAGGTACCGACTTATAACCTCTCTGGCGGACCTTTGTACGAGACCAAACGGCCACATGTCAGGCGGAGTTGCGAGCTCGGGCCAGCGAGCTGGAGGAGATGGAATCTTCTCCGGATGCGTTGAATTCACATGCTGCGGGTCAAAACCAATGGGATCCCGGGTAGGTGGTCCGTTGAATTCATATGGGGCTGTGGTTGTCACAGCCGTTTTGGGATCCCATTTTGAAAATGGTGAATTCACAAAACCCATTTTAGGCTTCCTATTTTAGTGGGTTCGGGGGTACGATTTGGATTTTGACCCGTGGCCCTATGGGGCTGTGGGTCAAAATGAAACCACCATGGGTTGCGCAGGTTTCAGTCCCTTTCCATTCACCAAGGTTCCATGTTCGGCATTTTTTTGACCCTTAGCCTCGTATGTGAGGCCCCTGGCCACGGAGCGTTTCAAGTCCAGATCCCGACTGGGCGAAGCAGCTCAGGGTATAGGTGTCCTTTTTTAGGTGAGCCTGGTTAAAAATGGATGGCACTGGCTTGCATGGGTTTTGTTCCATTTACCATGGCCATCTACGTTTCCAAAAGGCCACCTATGGAAGGGGCTTCCTGTTGGGATTCTCCACAGCACCTGGAATGCCCCCGGCTGCGGCCCGCTTGCCAGGAATGGGGCGCCTTGAAGGGATTTCTGACTCGCTCTCAAGCACGCAACACCATCGGCCCAAGCGGACCAAGGATCACATAAGGCTTGGGGAGCCTTTTTAAAGTGTTCCAAAAGGAGAGCACAGTTGGACATTGAACCACATGTTGACACATTCCCGCGTTTCATAATTTGTCCCGTACTTTCAATGCCGCTTGTTACATGGCTATGAGTTAGTTGATGACTCGATGACTGCTATTCCGTTTATTGTTACGCTTCGATGCTTCCGATTCACAGCCTGCTGTGACTCACAGCTATACGCGTTTGTTTGCTTTTTGTTGCGGCGGCCCACTGACTGCGTGCCAAACGCTTGCATCGAGCACTTGCCCGGGAAAAAGTCTGTGACACCCTCGGAAACCCAGTTCTGTAAAAGAGGGACCCACCAACAGCAACCCCAAATCCGCGTTTTACCATTTACTTTCAATCAACCCCTAAAATGGGTGGTGTACCCATGGTTCCCCTTTCAAGCAACCCCAAAGTGTTTTTTTTTTAGAAATCGAAACGAGACGCCCAAATTCTGCGTAAACTTGGCTTCTGGGCTCTTTGAGGAGAAGGCCAAGAGGCAGGAAGAGATTTCCGCGCTGCAGAGCCATATCCTCGAGGCGGGAGACGGGGAAACTGGAGGTTGCCAGCGTTCCTGAGACGGATCCCAGTCAGCCCACCCCCTTAGACCAGGGAATTATTCGCAGAAATCAGCTTCAGAGTCCGCTTTTTCCCAATGGCCAGGAGGTCGGAAGTTGGTTACCAACTTCTGTAAGGGGAAGCCACCAGGTTCTTTGAACTTGGTGGCTCCCGAAGGCCATCCGGTTCCTTAGGTCCTTCGCCGTTTAGATCTTTTTAGTGTCTAGCGCTAGTTTCCATTTTTAACCCCCCCAAGAGCTAAGAACTGTTGGCGGGGGATCTGAGGGCAGCCCAGTTCCTGGGCTCAAAGGCGAGAGGTTTTGGTTGGGCTTCGATGGAAGGCTTTGAATGATGCAACCCTTGCTGAGCTGCTGCCTTTGGGCATTTGTTTGGGTCGCTTCTATTTTCAGGGCTTCTTCATGGCCTTGTGGTTTCCTCTTGAACCAACCTGAAACGAATACCTGAAACAAAACACAGATACAACTTTATGGGTATGTCTTGTTTTACCCTTTACACCCACCATGTTGGAGATCCTGCATCTCCCTTTGAGTTGAACTCAGGTAGAGATGCAGCGCTGCCAAGAGGAGCTACAGCTGAGCCGCTCAAAGGTAGAGGCGAGGGGTGGAATGAGAATACGGTGGAGGTCCGGATCCTGGGAGGATCCATGGAGGATCCAATTCGTGTTTCAGGTTTTGAAAATCATGGTAGAAGTTCCAGATTCCATGTATGTGCCATGGTCAAACCACCCATTTACTTGGGGTGGACGCTTAGTAGGGAGAGAATGCAGACTAGCAGCAACTAGTGCGGGTCAGGCGTTTTTGGCGCTCATCATCTTGACAGATTGTAATGAGCTTACTTGGTGGCAAAGCGAGCTCACCACGACGACTGTCTCTTTTGGTTCGGGGGGGATTCCTTGTTCCTGGTTCGTTAAATATGTCGCTTCCTCTACCTCAGAGCGCGCCAACTGTTGACATCCCACACAGAGCTTCCGGCGCAGGCTCTTGAGAAGGAGCTCAAGCAGGAGGGGACACTCATCAAGGTTCCGATGTCGGCACGCCATACAGCTCAGATTGACCTGGGTATGTAACAATCGTCTTACTGATGCATATAACATATATAGTATCTATGCATTATATATAGAATATATCTATATATATATATATATATACTACCTATATATATACATATATATACACATATGGAGTATGTATATACATATATATATACACACATATGGAGTGGATATATTCATCTATCTACATGTACATAGAATCTCAACCCAGAAGTGTACCGGTCTCGAGAAGTTGAGTAGATGAAACATCCCGCTTTGCCGGCGCAGGCCCAAAAGTTGAAGCAGAGATGCGAGGCGGGGCTGAGTCTCCGGCGGCTCCTTTAGGTCTGAAGGGTTTTTACTGGATCCCTTCAAATGGGCCTTTGATGGTCCAGAATTCTATACCCTTTATGTACCCTGCAATACCTTTTTATACAGATGTATCATATGTGTGTATGTATATATATACATATATATGGGTTATGTAATGTAGTTAGAGGCCCAATGATTTCAGTGAGGGGAAGGCTGTCGTCCAAGTTGAAGCGAGCCAGGCGGCAGCACTTTGAGACAAGCTCTGTTCGGTTTCATTGATTTGGACTACGGAAGGTTCCCTTCAGCAGCCCTGTACTCCGGACATGGACTTTCACCTCATGCTGTGGAGGCACACTGCCAGTGATTTGGTGCGGCGTCATTTTCCCCACAGGGCGGCGCGAAATGTGGAAACGCCTCGTTTCCCTTTGGCTCGTGTTTGGCTTCAAAAACAGATGGCTTCCCTTTTAAGAACTCAAAAGAGACCCCCAAAGCAGACATGCCCATTTGACCAAACCTGCAGAGGTTTCGAACTGATCACCGGTAGGCGAAACTGCCGGCGTCCTCCCAGGCGGGGAATGCAGAGACGGGGGGTTCCTAGTGACACCCTCACCCAGATCTGGGTGTTTCTTGTGAAGAGGTGAGCGTTGAGCAGGCACTGACTCTTTAACATAGGTGTCCTTTTTAGGTTAGTTTGAAAAAAAAAATAGATGGCACTGGTTTAGATGGGGTTTCTTCCATTTACCAGGGCCATCTAATTTTGCAAAAGGCCACCTATGCTCGTGAAGGTACGCTTGCATGTTTTGACAGCTACGTGCCGGTAGCATGTGATGTGCTTTCCCCTTGAGCCCCCGAATCCACCTAAATCCCAAAAGCCGCCCCCCAAATGGCAACATGCCTCACAACAAAAACATCGTTCCCACAATAATGTTGTCTACAAGGGCTTTACACATAGACTGGGGGGGGGGGGGGGCACTTTAAACATTCAGTCATGAGTCATGATCACAAGATGGAACCTGAGTATTTTGTTTACACCACACTCACAAAGCGGGCAAACCCTATGTACCAGCGTTTGCTCCATCTAACCTTTTGCTTCAACCTTCCCCCCCCCCCCTCCCTCCCCCCCCGCCCCCCCAGTTTCTTCCTGGTCCACATCCAGCTTCCCTACCAGACCATCAAGAGGCCGTCTCGGGCGATAGGAGGCGGTGCACCGGCACGAGATGGCCGTGCGCGCCTCCTTCGAGGCGGACGCCTTCGACCCGCGAGGGGTGGCTGGCCACAGGGGGTTGCAGGGTGGGTGGGGGGAAGGGAGGGGGTGGGGTGGTGGGGTGGGGTGAGGGGGCGGGGTGTGGTGTGGGGTGGGGTGAGGTGGGGCGGGGTGGTGGGGTGGGGTGAGGGGGCGGGGTGTGGTGTGGGGTGGGGAGGGGTGGGGCGGGGTGGGTGGGGTGGGGTGGGGTGGCGTGGTGTGGGGTGGGGTGGGGTGGGGTGGAGGGGGTTGCCCAGCCCGTGTGAAAAGCGGCTGGATTTTGTCTTTTACCATGGCTTGAATCAACCCCCAGACCTCCGCCGGGCCAAGTCTGAGCCAGGACACCCGTGCGGAGACCCGGGAGAGGACCTCTCCCTCGCGGAAAGCGAGCAAGGCGGAAGCGCAGCAGGCGGTTCGAATACCGCGCTTTTTTTCCGTGTTTTTCCCCCGCCGAGTCATAGGGGCTTCTGACCCTTTATCAACATACTTAAGCTGCTTAAGCCACGTCTGTCTGAACAGCCTCCGTTGGGTTTCCCTGAAAGGGGGGCTGTAGGCTCCATGTGTGTAGACTGTGGACACATTTGTCCCAACGGGAAGCTTGGCTCACTAGCTTTGAGGTGAAGGCCTGAATTCAGATCAATTTGCATGGATCTTCCCGCGCATCTTTTTGATCAACAGGAAACCCAAAGAAGGGGGTTCGGGACCCAAGAACATGTTCCTCTGCAAACGGGTGCGTTTTCGGGTTCTGTGTGCATTTGCGGGAGAATTATTCGGTTCGTACACTAAAACCCCGGTTCATGACCGCTTCGGATGGGCTCAGGGCTGGTTTGCCTGCTGCTCGGTACAGCACGCCCCGAAAGGGCGCGCCTAGGGGTGCTTGGCTCAGAGTCGAGAGGGGAGGTTTGGAGGCCATGGATAGCTTCACAGTTTTGCCATGTTTGATGTGTTTGTGTTGCATCGCTTTTTGTTTTTTTGTTCTGTTGGGTTTTAGTGGCGAGTTGCTAAGCAAGTGTTTTGCCAACGTTCCAAGGGTTGGACAGATGGATTTGGGATAGAAGAAACAACGCCGCGGTATGCGGACAATAACACGAGTGTTGGCTTTCTGGATGATCCAGGTGTTGCATCGAAACGACTGATCGGATATGTTATATAGGCACACTGGTTGAGATCCAACATCAGGCAAGCAAGACAGCTTTCACCTAGAAATCTGCCAATGCCCTGCTGTCTTTTTTTGTGATGGGCTTTCCCTTCAGTTTAAACAGTTGTGGCGTCAAACCACCTGGATAGTAAGGCTCATTGGGCGCCCCTCTCGGGGGATTTGAGACCGCCATGTGCTTGATTGAAGATGGCATTGACTGTTGGTAGTGGTGACCAGGCCTGGGTAAAACTCCTTAAGCAAGCAGTCCCTGGTCCTCTTTAAGGAAAGCCGCAAGAAGGTTGCTTGGACTAGTTGTTTTTTCTTCTTCTTCTTTTTAAAACAAAATACATATATGTTAAAACAAGGGGCTGGCCCAACCCTGGTAGTGATTCAAGTCCATGTTTTTGCCAGTGTCTCTTTGCCGCGCTGAGGCGATGTCGACAGTCTGAAACATCCCAAACGGGATGGACGAAGCGAGTCGAACGCCTCCACGGAGCGCACAGCCGGCAAAGCGCCCCGTCAGTTGCGGATCTTGCGGGGCCATGACCAGCATCTTGATACAAAACAGCCAGAGTCGTTGGAAGTGGCAACGGCTCTCTTGGAGCCACCCGTATTTCAAACAGTTACAACAAAACAACAAGAGTCTTCGGAAGTAGCAACCGCCGCATCTCGTATTTGGTTTTTGCTGCTTCCTCTCTTGGAGCCACGTTTCCGAACTTCAAAAAGTTCAGAGCCGGCTGTGTGACGTTTGGTCAACCAGTATTGGGCCAGTGGCATTTTGGCACCAGACGCCTCCAAAGAGCCCGAGGTTTTGCGCTTCCAATGCCATTCCTCGCGTTTTTGTTTGGGCACAGGGCGCCTGACTGGTAGACCGCTTGGCTTCTAAAGGATCAATTGACAAAGCTGCCTGATTCTTTTTGGGCAATTGCGCCACTCTCAACATCCGTGAAGTGCTGAAACATCCAGCCTTAAACGAGTAGACTCTACGGTGGCCTGGGAACTCGAGGGCAAAGCACAAGGCTTTGCGCCTTTCACTCTCCGATCACTCCCGGGGTTGCCCCCGCGCGCAACCTGCTGGGCATGGGTTGGCCCCGGCACTTTTGAGGGGCCAAATTATACATGGGTCTTTGCAACGTACATGTGAGTAGCGTTTTTTTGCTCCTCCACTACAAATGTAAAGGTACAGACATTTCATATGAATTAGAAAGAAATAACAGAAAAACACCACTCATGTCGCTGTCCACTTGGACGCGCCGAGCACCATCTTCCTGGCCGAACCGCTGAACCCATGCCCCGGAACTTTGTCTCACGGAATGCCAAAGGCGTGCGTCTTCTTGGGCCGGTCGGACCCCTCCGGATGTTGCCTCCGTTTTACATCCCGAAAAGCTGTCCAATGCGTGGAGGAGTCCAGGTCCTAAAAGCTGTCCCAAGCGAGGTTCTATGGCTTGTTTGTTTTCACGTTGCCACACCTCAGACATGGGCAAGGTTTGAAGCTGAAGCAACCGCCTGTGATCTTTTTAGCTGGTGAATCCAGCTTTTGATGAATGAGGCACCTTCAGTCAGAATGAGTTGACCTAGGGCCACAAACACTAAATGAAGAGGCAGCTCAGCCTGAAACAGAAGGAACTCCCAGCTGTACTTGTGTGTTCTTCGCCAAGCTGTTAAGAGACTCAGGGAAGAGTCTGTTGTATGGCAAACTCCGCGCCTTCTTCCGTGTTTCTTTCTTTCTCTCGCTTCCTTTCTTCCTTTCTTTCTGTCTTTCTTCCTTTCTGTCTTCTTTCTTCTTTGTTAGACGCCAGAAAGCACAAAACTTGATTGGGCGACTGATCCTCGGGGTTCGAGTACCTGAGTTCAAGACCATATGTGAAGGTTGTGCGCTTCTCACCCATCGCTTTGCTCCTTTCGCCTTGCGGGCGGACAGAAAAAGGCGCATGTCGACCTGCGCTGACCATTCGGACATCGAGCGCGGAGAGCGAGACCTCTGGAGACTCAAGTTGCTTTGTCAGGGTGTGCCCTTTTTTGTTTGAGCCGACGATTTGCGGGGTGGTTTCTCTACCCGAAATCAACCAGTGTCAGTTTGTGCCGTAGAATCGCCGTCGCCAGGCGACGCCGAAAGGGCCCGCTGAATCGCAATGCTTAGATCGTTCCAGTGCGCACCGCCTGCCTCAAAAGATGCGCAACCGATGCCCCGTGCCACACGTGTCTGGTGGCAATTGCCAAACGCAGGCGATGGGGTGTGTCCCGCGCAAGAGGGCCTTGCCGCGCGCTGCAAAAAAGAGCCACAGCAAGCCTTGAGACTTCCTTTGATTCCAAGAAGGAAACGCTGCACCTGCCCATCGTCCATGGCAGACGCCGTGGGGAGTGTGCCTGCATGCGCTCCCAACTCCAAAACGGGCGGCTTGTGTCCAGGTCGGCGGGGAGGCAGAGGTGTCCGTCGTCAACCCGGTCCAAACGTGGGTTCCCATTGCCGCAGCTTCGTCAGATTCTGGGCGGACCGAAGAGTGAGAAGCGACACGATTCCTTTGGAAGCTGGACTGGATGTTGGCGAAGTGGGCTTGTCAGGTGGGAGCAAGCCCGGCTTGCGGGAGTCACTCTGTTCCCGTCTGGCGCACCTGCAAACCTAGACACAGGTCGCTCCAAAGGCGTTTGAGATAAAGCCAGCAGGCCATGCTTCCTGCCGCGGCCTCCGGCTGTTGCACGGGTGGCCGGCGTGGAACGAAGCAGCCAGGTGAACGATGGGCAAACTGTCACACAGCAAAAGCGACCTTCGAAAACCCATTTGTTTGAGCAAGACTGCGCAAGCTTTTTGGCACTGGCACACACCTGGTCGTGCTCTCTGGGCGCTGCCAGCAAAATGGCCCCCCCGCAGGCAGTGCCCATTGTCACTGCCTGTTTTGTGCGCTGGTTCGCGCTGCCTGTCGCATCTCAGCTCGCCTTCGCCCAGTCGCCTCTCATTGACGTCCTCAGGGCAGCCCCTTGCTCAGGTGAGAGGGCTTTTGAGGGAAACATATAAGGTTGCCCTCATTTGAGCCCATCCTGGAACAAGCGCATCAATGGCCGGCCCTCTTGCCTGGTCTCAAACACATGTATGAAAAAGAAGGCGGAGCAAAACGCACTGGCTTGAGTGCCGGTTGGCGCCCCTCCAACAACTTGATTATTCTCGACTACTTCCGCGCGAGTGTGAGTGGATCTACCGACCAAAAGCCATCAACTGAACGCATACCGTCGACGCGTGGCCGACCTCTTTGTCTCCGTGTCTCTCTGTATCTTTGCCTCTCTGTTTGTGTCTCGCTCTATCGCTGTCTCTGTGTCTTTGTGTCTCTCTGTCTCTCGCTGTCTCATTCTCTCGCTCGCCCGCTTCCTCACTCACTCACGCACGCACGCACGCACTCACTCACTCTCTGACTCTTTCACTCTTTCACTCTCTCACACTCTCACACTCTCACTCTCTCACTCTTTCACTCGCTCACTCGCTCACTCTCTCACTCTCTCACTCTCTCACTCTTTCACTCTCTCACGTCTCTCACTCTCTCTCACTCTCTCACTCTCTCACTCTCTCACACTCTCACACTCTCACTCTCACACTCTCTCACTCTTTCACTCTCTCACTCTCTCACTCTCTCACTCTCTCACTCTCTCGCTCACTCACTCTCTCACACTCTCACTCACTCACTCTTTCACTCTCTCACTCGCTGACTCTGTCACTCTCTCTCTCTCTCTCTGTCTCTGTGTCTCTGTCTCTGTCTCTGTCTCTGTCTCTGTCTCTTTGTGCTTCTTTGTCTCTCTCTCTCTCTCGCTTTATCCTCTCTTCTTTCTCTCTTCTTTCTCTCTTTCTCTCTTTCTCTCTTTCTTCTCTCTTCCTTCTCTTTTCTTTCTCTCTTCTTTCTCTCTTATTTCTCTCTTATTTCTCTTTTTTCTCTCTTTCTTCTCTCTTTTTTCTCTCTGTCTATCTTTCTTCTCTCTTCTTTCTCTTTTTTTGTCTCTGTTCTTTCTCTTTCCTTTCTCTCTTCTTTCTCTCTTCTTTCTCTCTTTCTCTCTTTTCTCTCTCTTTATTTTCTCTTCTTTCTCTTTTCTTTCTCTCTTCTTCTCTCTTCTTTTCCCTTTCTCTCTTTCTTCTCTCTTCTTTCTTTCTTTCTTTCTCTCTTTCTCTCTTCTTTCTCTCTTCTTTCTCTCTTCTTTCTCTCTTCTTTCTCTCTTCTTTCTCTTTTTTTTCTCTCTTCTTTCTCTCTTTTTTCTCTCTTTCTCTATTTGTTCTCTCTTTTGTCTCTCTTTCTCTCTTTCTTCTCTCTTCTTTCTCTTTTCTTTCTCTCTTCGTTCTCTCGTCTTTCTCTCTTTCTCTCTTCTTCTCTTCTTTCTCTCTTTCTCTCTCTCTCTCTCTTTTCTCTTCCTTCTCTTTTATTTCTCCTTTGTTTTCTCTTTTTTTCTCTTTTCTTTTCTCTTTTTTTTCTCTCTTCTTTCTCTCTTCTTTCTCTCTTCTTTCTCTCTTCTTTCTCTCTTCTTTCTTTCTTCTTTCTCTCTTTCTCTCTTTCTCTCTTTCTCTCTTTCTCTCTTTCTCTCTTTCTTCTCTCTTCCTTCTCTTTTCTTTCTCTCTTCTTTCTCTCTTATTCTTTCTTTCTCTCTTTTTCTCTCTTCTCTCTTTTTCTTCTTCTTCTTCTCTTCTCTCTTTCTCTCTTCTTTCTCTCTTTTTTTCTCTCTTTTGTCTCTCTTTCTCTCTTCTTTCTCTCTTTCTTCTC